TTCGACGGAACTTTTTATTTGTCATTTTTCAATGTGGACTGGCTGGCTTGAAGATGAGTATGGTGTAGTGGAGCTGAAAGAGAACAAACTCCACTCCAAAGGGCGAGCTCAAAAACCGCATTGTTTCTTAGAGAACTCAGCAGCATGGTCACTCTTATTTTAAGGGGTAAGCAAAGGGAACGTCAAAATGTAATTTTAAAGTGTCTTTCCTCAAGCTAAAAGGTGCTAATAAATCATTTCCACATATTCATACACATGCATCTCCACTGATCCCTGTTTGATTTTCAGCATTCACAATGAATTACCGAAATTAACTCATGAGCAAAGGACAATTTCCACATCCCAAAGTCTTACTCCAGGACAGGATTTGCCCTAAGACTTAATGTATCAAATTATTCCTTTTTTAAAAACTGGCATTGATTTCTATTTCATTGGTTGCAGCTTAATCTTGCAACACTGAGTTACTTTCAAGGGATAATTGTAATTCCTTTGATGCCAAGTAATGTGTTAAGAAAAAGCAGTCTTGGGGTAGAGAGAAACAAGCCAACAGGGCGGGGGGGTGGGGGGTGGGGGTGGGGATATAAACACTGCAATATCAAATGTTCTAAATTAGAATAGTTACAGGAAAATAAAAATTATTGACACAGACTCCAAAATCAGTGCACTATGTCCAAATGAGCATTTTCATCTTGAAACTCAAGTGGGCAACAATTTTCTCAGGCAAAAATTTGATCCTTGCATAAAGATAACAGAAAAGCCCAGGCCTTCTAATAAGTTCTTGCTTAGACTACATTTTGCCTGACATCCCTCTCTAGTTTTAACTTCATCTAGTTTTATGGAAATGTGCAAGGGAAAATAAAGTTCATAAAGAATGGAAGCTGTCATTTTTATTGCCTGGAGCTGGAGAATAAGTTCCTATTTATTTGATTTTAATCCATTTCAATGCATTGAATATTTACTAAACTAGACATTTCACACAAGGAGAGTGAAAATAAAACCACTGGGGAAATGTTTACTTCATTTATTTGAGACAGCTTTATTGCTGTAGGAGCATCAGCAATGGGAAGTTGGAAGAACTATCCAGATTCTTCAGATAACTCTTAATATGGTGAAACAAATATGAGAAGTCTATGGTGTAGAACGTCTTCCTATATTTGAGCTAGGGTATAATCTAAAAGCTCTAAGAAGGTGAACTATATTCATGCTATTTTCAAGGAAGCTATGGCAAGACTTCAACATTAATAATAATAACTCTGCATTCTCCATTAATCGCTGAAGACTCCATTGAAGTTCTGTTAAAATGGCTTTAGACTAAGTTCTTACCCATTAGTGATTGCTGGCAACTTCATGCACTGCTGGCATGTGCTGTCACCTGGGGCAAAGCATGGCTGAGTCTTTCATGAAAGACAGAATGAGTAGGGAGGGTCCCTAACGGTTTGACCTTTCCCCTTTACTGCACATTTGTTTAACTGATAGGCATTTCTATACCCGCGTGGAACAGATTCTATGATTTGGATAAATATGAACAATATCATTGTTTCAAGATTTGAGGATCAGCCCAAAGTCAAAGAACTGAAAGTCTTAGATCCTGTTGAATAGCAGCCTAGTTTCTCCTGCCTTCCTCATGGTGGAGGTCTCCATTCATTTTCAGATTTCTTAGACTTACAAAATGAAAGAAAGATGAGCCTTTCTACCCATAAAGAGCAAGCGGGGTTCAGAGGTATCATGACTCCATTATCTCCTCCGACATTCATTTCACCTCGCCTAATGAACCCAATCCTCTAGCAAACCCACTGCCTGGAGTCAATTCCGTGACCCTATAAGGCAAGGTAGCACTGCCTCAAAGAGGTCCTAACATTGTAAGTCTCTATGGATGCAGAGTGACTGTCCATCTTTCTCCACTTGAGTGGTTTCTAACCGTTGACCATGGTGATGTGTTGAACATTAGAGCACCTGAACCATTATGTGGCCAGGGATCTAACCTTGCTTAAACCACACCAGAACCAGTCAACTCCACAGGCTTTGAGTCGATTCTGACTTATAGAGACGCTATATGGGGTTTCTGAGAGTGTCAAACTGTGTGCGAACAGATAGCCTCATCTTGCTTCCTTAGAGTGGCTGGAGGATTTGAACTACTGGCCTTGCAGTTAGCAGTCCAATGCTTACCTGATAGCACTACCGAGCTCCTACTTTGCTTAAGCAGTGGTCAAATAGTTTGTGCTGCCAAAATTGGCAGAAGGGTGAATCCCTTTGTTTTGTGGATCATTTCGGTTCTAAACTTATAAGCTCCAGAGTTGAGTGTCAGAAGTGGTTTTCTTCTCAGTTGATTGAAAATCATTCCTCATTTGAATCACTATTTTGAAACTGTTGCTGAGCCTTCCAGCAGTGACAGGTCATTGAACCATGAAGGATTCAGCCAAACTGGTTATCTGATGCCATGGAGCTCATTATTTCCCATCCTACTAGTGGCATCTGGTATATGGGGAAGACGCCCTGGGTATGTGCCACAGCCCAGCGTTTCCTCATTCTGCAAGCTTCCTGTTGCTCATCTCTCTACCTTCTAACTGTCACTACAACACTACGCCATTCTTCAGCCTCAGGCCAAAACCAAAACGTTCATAGCTTCTTAATAACCACGAGTCCTCGGGAACAGAAGAAGCTCGACTGACAGGGTAAGGTTCAAGCTTAACACAACCAGGAGGCCAAGTGGAATGGCATGTAGGTATCAAGGCTCTGCATCGAAGTTGTCTGTCTGAGTTTTCTATCTGGTTCTGTCCCCTGCTGCCTCTGGAACCAGGGGCATGTCTTAACTCTCTCTGCACCTTTGTTTTTTTCATTGATAAAATGAGAATAGTAATAGTACTTACTTCATTGTATTTCCATGTGGTTTAACAGGGTTTCCAAGATGGTAAATCTTTATGGAAGCCCTCTTTCTTCCAAAGAGTGGCTGGTAGGTTAGCAGCTGAGCATGTTTACCATCGTGCCACCAAGATTCATTAATAAAATCTATGAAGTATTTAGAACAGTGTCCAGCACAAGGTAAGCATTCCATAGCTAATAGCTATTACTCTTTTTAAAAATTGCAAATTTATGTAACAATTACAGATATAAAATTATTTGCAGCTAACTACTATACAAATGTATGGAAAGTGATTTCGTTTGAAAAGCAAATTCTGAGTTTTGGAAGCCATTTATTGGTACCAGTAAAGGTTTTGTAATCCTGCTCTCCGGCTAGTTCTTAGAGTGAGAGCAACGGCAGAAGCATGTATTAAAAAGTTACACCGTGCCGCGGGTTTTATATTATGTTTCTTAATCCTGACTATAGCCGTACCATGTAGGTTATTTTATATACTAATTTACCAGCAAGGAATCCAAGAGGTAACGCTATTAAATAGCTTGCCCCAGGTCAAAAAGCATGTTCATGGTGAAGCTGGATTTCTCTTTGAGGTCAGTTGAGTGCAGCACTTTTGAGCCACGTATACTACCTTGTGCTCATGCCAGCTGGCATTTAAAGAGACATGTTTATAAACCTGGGTAAGGGCGGGGGTGATGGAAAAATCTTCATGCTGGGGAATGGAAACATGTCTGTGGTTTCCAACAAAAGATATAGTCATATCGCTATAAATTGTTTGCTGGGTGAAGCTATTGGTTTCACGGGGTACCTGGTGGCATGGTGGGTTACAAGTTGGGCTGCCAACCGAAAGGTCAGCAGTTGACCACCCCCAGTGGCCCTGTGGGAGAAAGACGAGACCTTTGACTCCCATAAAGATTTACAGTCTCAGAAACCCACCCGGACATTTCTACTCTCTCCGGCAGGGTTGCTATGAGATGGAATCAGCTCGATGACAGTGTCTGGTTTGAGGGAGACCATGCTGGGAAAGGGTTCCATCTTTCCATTTTGCTCTGATGTGGACATTTCTGCACTGAAGTTTTAGGTTTTGTGAGGGTGGGGAACGAGGGGGCTGTCTGTGAAAGCTCCATACTGGGAAGCTATGAGTCGGAATGGACTCCCGACCCACGCTCGTTTGGGCAGCTCACCAGTGAGCAGCATCTTAAAACCATTGAAAGGGTCTGATTAAAAATAAAAATTTAAGTCCCCTTGCTAGATTTACTTTATTTTAAAAGACATACCAAGTCAAGATCATTTCTGAGAGATCTATCACAGGCAGTCTCCGGGTTCCAAACAAAAGTTCCTAAGTATGTCTTTATATCAGATTTATTGGGAAATCAGACAGGGACATGGGGTTCTTCTTTAGCATCACTTTGCTGAAAGCAAGGGAGTCCTGGGGCATCATGGCGTAAGGATTGGGCTCCTAACCAGCTGCTGCACAGGAGAAAAATGAGGGTTTCTACTCCTGCGAAGAGTTACAGTCTCAGAAAACCACAAGGGCAATTCTACTCTGTCCTATGGGGCATTCTGAGTTGGAATGAACTCCCCAGCAGTAATTTAGTGCAGGAAAGATCTGCTAGCCTTCTCAACTATTGAAACCTTGTTTGCAGTAAGTGAACAGGAGATGGTGGCGAGTGTGTTACAAGGAGGGATCAGTTCATGGGAGCCTTGGTGGCATAGTAGTTACATCGCCCAGCTGCTAACCGGAAGGTAGGTGAGCACTGCTCTCCAGCTGAGGAAAGACGTGGCAGTCTACTTCCATACAGAGTTACAGCCTTGGCAACTCCATGAGGCAGTTCTGCTTAGTCCTATCAGGCCACTGTGAGTCAGAATCAAACTTGAACTAGTGGGCTCAGTTTGGGTTATTTGGGGTGGGGTTGGTTCCATTGTTTCAAGATCAGGGAAGGGTGCATCACATTAAAGGACAAGCATGAGTTGTCTGACTTATAAACCAGGGACTGCCTGTAATAGTTCTCCAAGTTCACTCACTCTCCCAGCTTTTTCGGGCTATTACTCAAGTGATTATTAGGGCACTGTTTACATATCATTAATCAATTTACACTGAATAAAATAACTTGTGAATATTACATGTTTTATTCCAGCCATTCCCAAGATGTGGCTGCTTCTAGCAACAACCTGTTTGATTGTGGGGACTTTCAATGTCGGAGGACTCTTTCACTGGAAAAACAAAGTGAATCCTGAGGTGTGGATGAATATTGTAAGTCATGGAAAATTCCAAAGAACAATAGATGAAGCAGGATTAATTGGTGGTGAGAATATCAAAAGCTTTTGTTACAGCAGGAAAACTCTCATAGAAAAGCAGGTAAAACAGAGCATCTTGACCAGGCAATGTTTTGTTGCACATAGGATCACTGAGAGCTGGAGCCAACCCAAACGCTCCACCACCACCAAGAGTCCAGCTAAGTAGATCAGATCTTTTGGTAGCATAATAGGACTTTCTAATAACAAAAAGCAGAATTGTGGTTGTATAGACCATCCCGGGTTCTGAATGTATACATATTTGAAGAATAGTAGACCATTTCGAAATTATATATGAGTGCCCCTTGATGGTCTCTGGTTTTGTTATCTTTAAATTAAGAATGGTCCCAAAAGATGAATTCGTTGGGAATCTGCCATTGTCAGAATAGCGGACCAATATTGAAATTCTTCACCACCCACTAACATTTATTTTGCACTAGTTGATATTTTCTAAGAATCAACTTAATTTTTACCCAAAACATATGTACTAAATTAATTTCACAGTTGCTTGGGTGGGGCTACAGATTTCAAATAATTCATCCCCATAAGTGCACACCAGTGCTGTGTTCTCTTTCCTGTTGATAGCCTTTGCCGAAGACAGTCCACTAACACCTATGTTTTTACTGCACAGAGTGAGATCATCATGTACCACGGCTACCCCAGTGAGGAATATGACGTCATCACTGAAGATGGGTACATCCTCGGTGTGAACAGAATTCCCCATGGGCGGAGAGAGGCTAGGAGCACAGGTACAAGATACACCTCTCCTGAGAAAGAGGACTGGGTACGGTCAAAACTCACTGCTGCCTGTATCTCAGAGGAGGGATGGACTCTTCAAAATGGATTTGAATGATTGCATTGAGCTTTAAATGGTTAACAGGAAAGCGTAGTCATTCCCACCCTTTGAATGTGCCATGACAGGCCTGAACCTAAAAATAACAAAGGGCACGCCAGATCTTGTTGGCTACAGTCAGGCTTGCTCAGCCTACAGTCTGTGAGCTCATTACGAATTGTTGGTTTCTCATAGGGAACATTGTGTTATCCCAGAGAGAGGATTTCCTGTTTGTTGGAAGTGCATTTGTTGGGTTATCCAAGAGAACCCCCTGCTCCCACCTCATCAATGGCACCCCCCGGTGGGATAATAGATCTAGTGAAACAACTTTTGCCAAGAAAGATAGTTCTCAAGAGCAGATGTTTTATGTAATAGAAGAACATGAAATTAAAGAAGGCCTGAATTCTAGAATGTAAAAGAGCCAGCGATGCATCAGTAGGGTACTAAAATTCTTTAAAAGTGACAAGCAATTGCAAAAAGGTTCAGAAGAGAGAAAGAGTACACAAAATATCTGCAAAGGCTCAGTGGTGATGAGTCCTTGACAGAGAACCCTGAGGTGGAGTCAGCTCCACTCCATTGGCAACCAACACCCGCAAGCAGATCCTGAACGTTCACTCTGAACCTCCTCGCATGCTTCTGACCCGCCTCCCCACCAGAGAGGTCTTTGTTACTTAAAAGGTTCAGGAGGAAAAAAGAAGGAGTGACATGTGGAGAAGGTGATCAGACAGCATAAAGAATGCCTAGTTCAATCTGAAGTTCAGATAAACAATAAACATTATAAGTCCCATAGTAGGACATACTTACAGTGACGAGTTAGTGCCTACGTTTAGGTGGGGTTGGGCATGGTGGTGGAGGGGAGCAAGGAGTGCTATTTTGTTTTAATTTTTGTAGTGTTTTGCTAAATCTGGTAATATTGCTATTGTTGTTAGATACCATCAAGTGCATTTGGACACACAGCAGCCCTCCCTAAGCACAACACAACAAAACACCCCTTCATCCTGCATCATCCTCACGATTGTTTCCATGTCTGAGCCCATGGTTGCAGCCACAGTGTCAGCCCATCGCGTTGAGGGTCTTCCTCTTTCTCTCTGCCCCTCAACTTTACTAAGCCTGGTTTCCTTGTACAGGGTTGCTAGTTTTATTCATTGGATCTCCTTGTACATGGATAAGCATTATCCCCTCCCTGACAGCACTGTACTTCAAGGTCGATCTTGAAAGGTCTTTTTTGACTATGAATGCAATGCTATCCCCCTTGATTGTGCTATCAGACAAACTGGCAGACAAGCGGTGGAAATAGGTAGATAGAAATGGTTTAAATAAATAAAATAAATCAATGAACCCTCTCAGCAGCCCTGAGCAGGTTCTATTTAAAGTTACCAAGAAGAAACTGAAGTTCCACAGATTACGTAGCTTGACCCTAAGCCACAGAACAGGGACGGAACCAAAATGTAAACCCAGGAAAGCTAATTCAGAGCCTGTGCTCTTAACCAGGAAACCATCAGGCCCTGACCGTCAGCCCTGATTCTGTGCATCTCCCTGACTATTCTCTTCCCAGGGAACATGGATAAACTTCATAGGGGACTAGTTCATGTCCATCAACACTCACTGCCTTTTTCTCCCTAGAAAAGATGTAAATGAAATCACATAGCTTATGTTTCCTGAGTATACACTTTGTATCTGCTGCTTTGCAGAATGGCTTATCTGCTTTATCTCTTTAATCCCTTATAATAACTCTATGCGTAGCTATTATTTTGATAAGCCTCGTTTTACAGATACGGAAACTGAAGCTTAAGGGAGGTAAGTAACTTTCCCAAGACCACTCTACAGACAGCGAATAAAGAAGACCGAGGGAGAAAGGATGCATTTGAATTGTGGCGGTCGCAAAGAATACTGAAATCACTGTGAACTGTCGGAAGATCAAACAAATACCTTTTAAAAGAACAGCTAGACTTCTCTCTAGAAGGGAGGATGGCAAGACTTCATCCCCTGTACTGTGGACACGTTATCAGTCGTGACTGCTCTCTGGAGAAGCGCATCATGCTTGGTGGAGAAGTAGGGCATTGAAAAAGAAGACGCCTTTCAACAAGGTGGTTGACCCAGTGGCTGCAGCAAAGGACTCAAACATAAAAGCCATTGTGAGGATGGTGCCGAACTGGACAGCGTGTTACTCTGTTGGACATAGGGCTGCTATGAGTTGGAATCGACTTGGTGGCACCGAACACCAACCAGCAAGCGAGGTACAGAGCTGAGACTATAATGCTCACCACTGATGACAAGGAAAAGGAGTGGATCCTATTGTTTGGTTTCCTTTTATCCCCGTGTGTAGGTTTCACACGTGTGGTTCTATTTTGTTCCTCATGCTATGTTTATTACTCTCTCTGCATCTCCCACTTCTCTTCCAGGTCCTCGGCCAGTCGTGTACATGCAACATGCCCTGTTTACAGACAACGCGGCGTGGCTGGAGAATTTTGCCAATGGCAGTCTTGGATTCCTCCTCGCAGATGCGGGTTATGATGTATGGATGGGCAATAGTCGCGGGAACACTTGGTCAAGAAGGCACAAAACACTCTCAGTGACCGAAGAGAAATTCTGGACATTTAGGTAAATTATTTCTAAGAAATACCATGAGGAACGTTCAAGGCAATTCATTGACAAATAGTACTAATGCTAATTTATCAAAATGTGTGATCAATACTTGTGCTATTTATAGTTTCTATTAACATCTCTAAGGAAAGAAAGAACAAGAAGCTGTGATTTTCTCTGACTCTCTTACAGGCAAATTTTGCCATTTTAACAAGATGACGTCAACACCCAGTCCTGTATAGCCATGAACTTGTCCAAAGGGACAGCTCCAGAAATGGCTTATGTCCAAAACATGCTTTCATTCCGTCAATATTTATTTCATATCTACTATATTCACTGTTCTGGGCACTGAACATTCAATAATAAACAGGGCAAAGTCCTTTTATTCACAAAATTTGTATTCATTCCAGTGATGCCTTGACAAGTTATTTCTCCTGGGGAGGCAGTCAACTTTGCAAACATGTTGTGTCAACATTATATTTATGCAGAGAAACTGTGGTTGAGTCCATAGAGACAAACATCATTAGAAAACTGGATGAGGTTTGGTCACCTATCTGACTCATAATATAATGGTATAGGTCATAACAAACTGTGGAGAACCTTTGCATTCCATTCCCATTGCAGAATATTCACCTTACCATGTAGAACACAAACAAGAGGCAGTCCTTTTAACATTACAAGGAGCTACTATGTGGCTTAGAGTCAGGAAAGGTGTATGTCAGGCTTGTATCATTTAAGCACATTGTTCAGATTGTTCAGCGAATCATCTGCAAAGGTGGACTATTTGAGAAAGAACTCTACGAAAACTTCTCAGCTAGCAAATAGGAGAACGGATTTACAAGCTGTTTCGTTTTCAAAGCTGGATATTGAAAGTCTCTGAGTATTGACATTCTGCGGGCAAGTCAAACAGCGTTGAAACAGCAACAAATAAAAAACCACTGCTCTTGAGTAAATTCCATCACATCGTGACCTTATAAAGAGTTTCTAAGGCTGAACATCTTCATGGAAGCATAGAGCCTCATCTTACACCAGCATAGCGGCTGATGTATTTGAACTATGGCACTTGTGGTTAGCAACCCATGTTTACCAAACACCACCGCCAGAGAGCCTGAGTTGCCATCAAATGAATCCGAACTCGTGGAAAGCCCATCAATTACAGGGTGAAGTGCGCTCCTTAGTGTTTGTGCCACTGCGGGGTGTGAGCTAAAATATGGTACTGGGTTTAGGGGCCATTGAACCGATTTCAACTCATAGGAACCTGACATGACAGAGTAGAATTGCCTCAGAGAGGTTTCTAGGCTGGGATTTTCATGGAAGTAGATTTCCAGGTCTCTCTCAGAGGGCCACTCAGGGATGCTAAGCCCCATGTAATTGAATAAATAATTAAACACACATCGACAAAGTAGAGAGCCCAGGTTTCTGAATGTCCAGGAGTATGCACATGCTCTTAGTTTTAAGCACAGTTGTATTCATAAGCCCCTGTTTTATTTTTTGCAGTTTTGATGAAATGGCCAAATATGATCTCCCAGGAATAATAGACTTCATTGTAAATAAAACTGGTCAGGAGAAGTTGTATTTCATTGGACATTCACTTGGCACCACCATAGGTATGTTTACATGGGCAAACACTATTGGAGTTGGCAAGAGTTCACCTTCGATTAAAACAGCGCTAGTGATATTCACAGTTTCTTGACTTCTCTGTCTTTGGTGGAGTAGATGCTCTGATTCCCAAAGTAGAGCGGTCATCCCTACCTGGGTGCCAAGGCGCTGTGAATACGCAGGGGAAACCTTTCCCTGTCTCTGGCTACAAGGCCACATTTTTCATGATGATGCGATTTCTCATGTAACAGTAACGACCCATATCCAGAGAAATAATTCCAAAAAGTACCTTTCTAGATCCCCTAAGAGCTAAAAAAGGAAAGCTAAATGGTTTGAAATATCTCTGAAAAAATGGTAAATATGTTTCAGTCACGCTTTCCACACAAATCACCTGTAGTGTTTGTTACTAAAAGGGTGGGGCTTATTTTAATAAATTGAAAAGAATTGGGTATATTGGTGGGTTGGAACACAAAAGCTTATTTTAACAAATAAAAAAAAATTTTTTTTAGAAACTCTTTCCAGGAGCATATAGCCTCACTCTTGTCTCTCAGAGTGGTTGATGGATTTGAACTGCCAATCTTGTGGTTAGCAACCTAAAACATCCCACAACACCACCAGGGCTCCATACTTTGATTAACCAAATTTCTGAATTCTAAATATAATCCAGAATAATCATGTGTCCCTTTATGGAATAGCATGCTTTGTGTCATGTGTCCAGGTGATTTTGTTCCCAGAAAAGTTTGAGAAACGGAGTTTGGGGGAATAGGAGTGGAGAGCTTCCAGAGAGATGTCTGTCCTTGTCATTAGTGCCCCCATTTACTTCTCAGCCAAAGACACAGCAGTCCTTAGAGGCGGGCAAGCTGCCTTTTCGGAGGGCTGACCCTCCTGTCAGGCCATTGTCATGTTGTCACAGTCATCCTTGTGACTATCTGCTCGGCCTGTGTCCAGCGCTTGTTGAGAGATGCTCCGAATATAAGTGGCCCATGCATGGAGGCCATGTTGAGTTGAGTTTATTTACTTAGCCTGTGACTTAAGACGGACGGCCTGGATAATGTACGTGAGCACAATGTAGAGAACAGCGTTTAACGTTCAGGACCCTGATCTAGGCGACGCTACTTTTGTGAGGATTGCCTTGATCTTTTGGACAGGAACCAACAATCCTCCTCCAAATAAAAACCTAAAGGCATTCATACGAATGAAAATTTGAATGTGCTAACATTTTCCGTTTTAAGAGACTGGGCCATGTCGAAGCCAATATTTCAGCCTGCATTTTAAAAAATAAATAATTAAAACTGCAGGAGACAATAGTTTTATAATATTCATGTTATCAACATTATTGTTAACAGCAAGCAGATCCTGATAGACACTTTATGTTTATCCTCAGGCAGCTTAATAATATCTTGGAACCAACAGCAAATATCAAAAAGCATAAATCAAATGATGAATGGGAAACCCCCAAATGCCAGTAATGGCCAAGCAATTATTCTAGAATAGTCACACTTACTGAGGCCTTTACTGTATTTCTTAGACTGTCTTCAGAAAATATATTCCCACCAGCCTATGCAACCACGAGGTGTCGAAGGGAGCAGGTATTAGGCATCATCAGAACAAAAAATCTTACCATAGTGAATGATGGGGGGAGTGCGGAGTGGAGATCCAAAGCCCATTAGTAGGTCACTGGAGATCCCCTTGCAGAGGGGTCTCGGGAAGCCAGTCAGGGTGCGATGTAACAACAATGAGAAATACAACTTTCCTCTAGTTTCTAAATGTTTCCTCCCCGCTCCCACCACCATGACTCGAATTCGACCTTGCAAGTCTGGCTAGACCAGGGGATGTACACTGGTACAGATAGGAACTGAAAATACAGGGAATCCAGGGTGGATGAGCCCTGCAGGACCAGTGGCGTGAGTGGCAAAACAGGGAGGGTAAAGGGAGAATGGGTAGGAAAGAGGGAACCGATTACAGGGAACTGTGTGTGACCTCCTCCCTGGGGGACAGACAACCGAAAAGTGGGTGAAGGGAGACATCGGACAGGGCAAGATATGACAAAATACCAATTTATAGACTATCAAGGGCTCATGGGGGAGGGGGGAGCGGGGAGGGAGGGGGGAAAATGAGGACCTAATGTCCGGGGTTTAAGTGGAGAGAAAATGTTTTGAGAATGATGTACAAATGCGCTTTACACAATTGATGTGTGTATGGATTGCGATAACAGTTGTATGAGCCCCTAATAAAATGTTTAAAAAAAAATTTTTTTTAATAAATAAATAAATAAAAATTTAAAAAAAGAAAATATATTCCCCTCTAATCTTCAGAACATTCCTACTATTATTTTCTCTGTTTCATAGAAAAGGAAGCAGAAGTGCAGAGAAATTGAGTTGCACAAGCTCTCTTATCTTATACGAGGCAGAACACTGATCCAAACCTGGACAGTCTGACTTCACCAAAGGAGTGCTTGGCACATGTGGAGAAACTATATGGAGGAGGACAGACTTGGGTTGGATCTGGAAAAATAACAGGGACTTAGATATGCTCTTATTTCTGATCTGCAAAGAAAATTTGGTCATCCCTGCTCTGCACTCCATTTAGGAAACGCCATTGGTATTTTGGGTATTTATAGGACATTTAGCAACCATAGCCCCAGCCTAGTATATGCCAATGGAGGACTCTAGACTATGTGATCACCCCAAAACTCATCTGCACAAATTTCCAAATGTCCTGTAGGGGGTGGCATCACTCTACGACTGGTTTAGCGTTTATGTACTTGTATCTCAATCAAGTATTTCAGTTCATTTTTATTTTTTTCTAGCCAAGATCTTTTAAATATTTCAACAAGAATTTCAGCAAGGACTTTCTATGGTGGAGACACACACACACACACACACACACACACACGCGCGCGCGCACGGACATCTGAAGGAGGTTACATGGGGAAGCAAATTACGAAGAAACTCCCCACACCATTCCTTATATTGTGCTTACCTCTCCCATCATCGTCATCCTCTTCCTCAGCTTAAGCCTCAGCCTCATCCCAGGCTATCAGTGGTTGCAATGCAATCTGTAAAAGCACAGAGCGAAAGGAGGCAATTGGTCCTTGGGCAAGTCTCCCACTTTGGAAGCCAGGGAAAAATCTCAAAGCTGGGTAAACAGCTGAGAGAGTGAGAAAGGAACTGGGATGAATAATTGGATGAAACTTCAGAAAGGAATGATTGTCTTCTCATGAGCAGACTATTTGTGTTTAGAACCCCGGGACTCCTTCTGGCATCTAGGATTGCAAGGCAGCAAAATTGTCCACAGTTCACACAGTGGTAGCTGCTTTAGAAGCATCTACTTTGTCTTTCCCAGACCAGCTACTCCACTTCCTTCACCAGGGTAAGTTCTCCATCAAGAAAATCAAGGGGGACATAGGAGTAGAGAGATCTGAAGGCATCATCACAGAGTAGCTTCGAAGTGTCCTACCAGCCCCAAGACCATTGCAGGAGAAGGATAGAAAGAAATACCAAAGCCAAATTCTACTTCTGTTAGCATGGCCTAAGTATCTTCAACCTGACATAATTGTCTCTGGTTCTCTCAGGGTTTATAGCCTTTTCCACCATGCCTGAACTGGAACAAAGAATCAAAATTAATTTTGCCTTGGGTCCTGTAGTCTCATTGAAGTATCCCACGGGATTTTTTACCAGGTTTTTCCTACTTCCAGATTCTGCATTCAAGGTAAGCTTCCTCTTTTGCCAAAATTTATCAGAGGCTTTATTTTTGGTCACAGATCTTTACTATTATATATTTTTATATATGATATTTTAAAGTCTTAGGGAGTAAAAATAGGAAATTGAGATAGAATCTATAGAAATCAGAATGTGGATGTTGCTGTGTGTGTGTGTGTGTGTGTGTGTGTGTGTGTGCTTGTCCTTTTCTTACGGCTGAGAGCTCCCACCTACATTCAATATATTCAGTCAAAAGCAGAACCGAATATATGAGATTCAAAAGGAGTATAGAAAATCACATTAAAATATCATGGGATTTATTTCTTCATTTATTTGATTTATTATTTATTCATTCATTTAGTTTATTATAAATTTAATTTATTCATCCATGTCCTATGATCTTTTTAGATGAGCCAAAATCTATCTCAGTAGGAGGTCTACTCACAAGTTTTCTTGCAACATTCATTTGGGCAGGTCCGTGGATTCCCAATGCCTACATGGACTCTTGGAATTATGCATTACCATTAATGCTCTTGATTTTGATGTTAGATGGACCTGGCAGATACACCGCTTACCTATAGTAGCTTGTACTAATTTACTAAGCCAGTTCCAAAGTTTCCAAACCCAGTCCTTTGTTCAAAATTGTGATTTGGGTAAACGCTTATAGAGGAAATGTGTTTTCTACTCAACAATTCACATATACTCATGTTTTATTTGTGCCATGACTGCATTCCCCACTATGTTACCAGCACTGTTCCCAGTGGCTTCCTGTGTTTACCATTTCCATTTGCCTTACTTTCCAGTCCCTTCCTGCCATTTTAGCTTTGTCCCTAGGCAAAGGCTGCTCTTGGTGTCATATGCTTGAACATTCCAAGGATGGTGTACCTCCTTGGAGCGACCGTTCACCTTAGAGATCTGAAAATCAAGCCACAGGGTTGAGTTCCGTTCCAGGGCTTAAAGGTTGTTTAAAGGTCAAAGTTCCACCAGTGTCTTTCAGATCAGTTAACCTGGTCTTTTGATGATTCTGAGTATTGTTCCACATTTTTCTCTTACCCCATCCAGGACTTTCCCTTGCGAGCCCAATCAGAGCAGTTAGAATACGTAGCTGGGTGCCATCTAGTTCTGCTGGTCTCCAGACAGTAGAGGCTGGTTTGTCATGGTTCATAAGTCCTTTGGGATAGTTTTTTTCCCAGTATCCTTGATTGTCTTCACTCTTTGTTGCTTCCAATTGTAGGATGCAAAGTCTGCCTTGATGCTCAGTTATTTAGTCAAATAGCTATTGGTTATTTTCTAAGGATTGGAAAATTATAGCTTGAATGGCAATTTAGGCTTGGGCTTTATTCATTTGAAGGTTTTTCCTTGCTTCCCATTTATTTTTGTGTTTCTAGAAAAGTCTGCCACAATGAACATAATACTTTGTTATGTTTATCCATGTCATTTGGGATTTGGACTGAAATAAAGTCCAGGAGACCAGTTAAGAGCTCATAGTTAAGATGACGAATCCTGGTTAGCATGGTAGTGTTGAAAATGGAAGCTATTGTACTATCATGTGTGAGCTCCAAACCCACTGCCATCACGCTGATTCTGTCACAGGGACCCCACAGAACAACGTAGAATGCCCCTGCAAGGTTCTCTAGATGGCATTTTTTTAAAACTGAAGTAGACAGCCCCGTCTTTCTTCCATGGTGTGGGTTTGAACTGCTGCTCTTGCAGTTAGCCTCCTAGTGCTTAACCTACTGAGCCACCAGGACTCCTGATGCATGGTCAAGAAAAAAGACCTTGTATAGGGCCTATTCATTGACTTGATATGAGTTCTCTTGGTCTGGTTACCCTAGGCACAAGTGAGCTCATTTCCTTTGGGTGTGGTTGATAGCTGTATTCAACATGTATTGACATCAGTTCATTTTTTCATTTTTAATGTGTTCTACATTCAGGAAAAGTTGAGCAAGTTAATATGTTAAATTCAGAGGAAGACACCCTTATCTTTAAGCATGCAGATTTCTATGTGCATTATTTTTCCTGGATAGGTTGGGTCTAAAGCAAAGAGTGTCCCTGGTTCGTGTGTATCTCCTGCTCTTAACTAGCCTGTCACCTTAATTTCTATTCTCCTTACCCAAATTTTCAAAAGGTCTGTGGCCCCAGAAACTCCAGGGCCTCCACCAGATATTTTTACCCAAGCTTACTTTCTCACGTTCTTTAAACAAATCATCACATTTTCCTGTTCAGTACACCATTCTCTGCTTTATGGCAGGAGCTCCATCTGTTTGGGGACATTAATATACAACCCCAGTGTGTTGACAGGCAAGAGAAAATCCTATTTTACCTTCTTGTTCAAAGTCATATCTGACTGTGGGAGAAATTATTTCACTTTCGTTGATAAATGATAGATAACAACTGTTGGTAATCTCTAACTGGTCAAAATACCAGGCAGCTTCACCAGGGGGAGGTATTTGGGGATCAGGTCCTTTCTCCAGGCCCCTGTGAATAATATTGAGGATCTCCATGGTTACAGATGAAGCCATAGTCAAGCTTTCTCAATAACTTGGTCTCATTGACCAAAATAGCAAGTGTGTCTCATGTGAAGGATACAGTCAAGAAGTCTGGAGATAGTTCTTTGGAAAAAAAAAATATATATATATATTTTTAAAAATAAATATATATATTATGTTGCTTTGTTTTACAGTATCTGTTTGGCACTAAAGGTCTATTTTTAGAAGATAAATCAAAGAAACTATCTTTCATGAAAATTTGCAGCAATAAAATCCTGTGGGTAATATGTAGTGAATTCTTGTCTTTATGGGCTGGATCCAACCAGAAAAATATGAACATGGTATGTATCACAAGATATTTTTTAATTGAGACACCCTAGTTTTCTTTGAATTCATTTAGATGCATCTCGTTTATTGCCGAAGTTCTAAACCCTTTATCAGCGATTCTCTGTATATAAAGCAGACATTAAGTGGACCATGAATGCGAGGACACTATTAATACAGTGCATTAGGAAAGTAGAGAAGCATGCATAGGTGTTGGATGCATTTCATGAGTGTTTCCCTTGTGGATAATTTTAACTTCATATCAAACTTGCTACTTAGAAGACACGGGAAGAAGAAGGAATGACATTTTTGTGAAGATGCACCAGTCTTGTTCCATGAGCTGTCTCCTATTGTTTAGAACTTTAAAAGGAGGAGGAAAAGAAGAAGAGCATGAAGACAAGAAGAAAAGAAGAGGGGGGAGAAGAAGAAGAGATTGAATTTTCAGACCACTGTGGTTGAATGTAGAATCCTGGTGCACCAGTGAGTTAGTCATTGGATGGAGATTGGCAGTTCAAACCCACCAGCTGTTCTGCAAGAGACGGATGAGGCTGTCCACCTTTATAAAGTTTTATAGTCTTAGAAACGTGTACCAAAGATCACAGTTCTCCACCAGTTCGACCCACTCCTATTTTTTTTTAGTTAAATTTTCGTTTTTTTAAATCATTTTATTGGGGGCTCATACAACTCTTATCAAAATCCACACATACATCCATTGTGTGTCAAGCACATTTATACATTTGTTGCCCTCATCATTCTCAAAACATTTGCTTTCTGCTTGAGCCCCTGGCATCAGCTCCTCATTTATTTTATTATATCTTACACTGCCCGATGTCTCCCTTCACCAACTTTTCTGTTGTCCATCCCACAGGGAGGAGGTTATATGTAGATCCTTGTAATTGGTTCTCCCTTTCTATTCCACCTTCCTTCCACCCTCCCGGTATCGCCACTCTCACCACTGGTCCTGAAGTGATCATCTGTCCTGGATTCCCTGTGTTTCCAGTTCCTATATGTACCAGTGTACATCCTCTGGTCTAGCCAGATTTGTAAGGTAGAATTGGGATCACAATAGACAGAATGGGAGGGAAGAAGCATTTAAGAACTAGAAGAACATTGTATGTTTCATTGTTGCTACACTGCACCCTGACTGGCTTGTCAACTCCCTGTGACCCTTCCGTAAGGGGATGTCCAGTTGCCTACAGATGGGCTTTGGGTCCCCAATTTGAACTCCCCCTCCTTCACAATGATATGATTTTTTGTTCTTTGATGCCTGATACCTGATCCCTTTAATACCTCGTGACCACACAGGCTGGTGTGCTTCTTCCACGTGGGCTTTGTTGCTTCTCAGCTAGATGGCCGCTTGTTTACCTTCAAGCCTTTAAGACCCCAGATGCTATATCTCTTGATAGCTGGGCACCATCAGCCTTCTTCACCACATTTGCTTATGCACACATTTGTCTTCAGTGATTGTGTTGGGAAGGTGAGCATCATGGAATGCCAGGTTAATAGAACCGAGTGTTCTTGCATTGAGGGAGTACTTGAGCCCAATGTCCATCTGCTGTCTTAATACTAAACCTAAAAATATATGCACATAGATCTATTTCTGCATCATCCTATACATATATTTACATATGTACATGCCTGTATTTAGACCTCTATAAATGCCCTTTGCCTCCTAGTTCATTCCTCTATTTCCTTTTACTTTTCTCTTGTCCCACTATCATGCTCAGCCTTCATTTGGATTCCAGTAATTCCTCACATTTACATTGATCTTGATCGATCCCTACCAGGCCTCTTACACCCTCCTTGCCACTGATTTTGGATCACTTGTTGTTCCCTTGTTCCTGGGTTGGTTAACACCACTTCTTTTCCCCCACCTCCCTCTCTCCCATGTCCCCCCAGAACCATCAGTCCCATTGTTTTCTCCTCCAGATTGTTTATCCACCCTTTCTTATCTAGATAGACCTGCAGAGACAATAATATGCACAAAAGAACAAGACAGGGCAAAAGAAAACAAAACAATACAACAACAACCAAAAATGGCCAAAAAAATAAGAGCCTATAAATAGTTCAAGGTCTGTTTGTTGACTTTTAGGGCCACTCCTATTTTTGTGTTAGACTAAAAGCCATGAATAACTATTATTCAAAATCTTGTTACTACTAAGCAATGCTTTTTTAATAGTGTCTCTTGAAGAGTCAGTATGTTCAACTCTAGAATTGTGATTACTGTTAAAAGTTTCTAGGAACCCTCATGGGATGGTGGGTTACAAGCTGGCTGCTAGCTGAAAGGTCAGCAGTTTGACTCCAGCAGCAACTCTTCATAAAAGAGATAAAGCTTTCTGCTCCAAAAAAGACCCAAAGGGGTAGTTCTATTCTAGCCTATTGGGTCATTATGAGTTTAAATCACCTCCACAGCATTGGACATGTTAGAGTCTCTAACATCTTAATTCTGTAAAATGTTTACCAAAGTTGAATGAAGTACAGTATATTTGGAAGTTGTTGGTCATTAATTTTTATTACCGGGTATTTTATTTTATCCTCACAGGAGATTGACAAGTGAGTAATATGATTTTGAGTATTTTTAGTATGTTTTACTTAACAGATGAATAGAATAGGAATTCAAATGTTAAATAAATTTCTCAATATCACAAAGCTTCTAAAGGACAGAGTGGGACCTACATCTAGTTCTTCTGTGCTATTAGACTGACCTACTTGTTTGTGGCCATGGATGTGCATATATACAAGTGTACACGTGCACACAGCTTCTTTCCTACTTGTGTTTCTCCATGATTTTCATTGCTTTTACCTCTACTTCAAAGTTAGCAAAACTTCCCACAGCTCTATCAACACATGCTTTACAGTCATCCAAATATCTGACATGAATGCATATTTCTGGGTCATTTCCAAAACTTCAGTATTCTTTGTGTGATTCTTAGTATCCTTGTTCTCTGATCCTGAAAGGCATCATATATGTTGACTGAGGACTCATTCTTCCTAACATATTTTGGTTTTGTTTTTCTTCAGAGTCGACTGGATGTGTATATATCACATACTCCCACTGGATCATCAGTACAGAACCTACTACATATAAAACAGGTAGAGCCTTTGTTGTGGAAAATCATACCAATCATCGTTTTCGTTAGATACCAAAAGACAGCACTGGTTCTGTTAGCAGGACAGCGCTAGGAAAACTGCACCCTGTGTTTGTCTCTCTGTTGGTCACCGTCTTTTTGTTCTAATATTCACTGGGTTTTAGAGCAAGTTTGTTGTTGTTAGGGGCCCTCGGGTCAGCTCCAAATCATCGGACTCGTGCTGCAGAGAACCACGGACCCATCCAGCTCAGACAACAGAATAGGACCCTGCCTGGTCTTCTGTCATCTTCACAGTTGTTTCCATGTTGGAGCCCTTTGTTTCAGCCACTGTGTCCACCCATCTCATTGAGAACCTTCCTCTTTTTCACTGGCCATCAATTTCACCTGAGACTGATCTCTCCTGATAACATGCCCAAAATGCAGCCTCTTCTAAGACACATTTAGGCTGTACTTCTTCTGAGACAGATTTGTTTGTTCTTCAGTATTCTTCACAAATGCCACAATTCAAATGCAGAGTTGAATTGAAAGCAAACCAGTAACATAAACCTGAGCTTGTAAAATAGATTCTAAGCTAATGCAAGAGGTAAACCGAGGAAGCGCGGGGAGAATTGAGGCTTCCACAAAGAGAGAAATACTTGGAATTATACTTCCTCCCAATTACCATCCCTAGGAGCTCTGGGAGTGTAGTGGGATATGAGCTGGTGAGTTCATCACAATCCCTGCCATTTGAAACCACTCATGGAGTAAGATAAGGCTTTCAGTTCCAGTGAAGATTGATGGTCTTTAAAACCCAAAGGAACAGTTCTACTCTGCCCTATAGGGTTGCTGTGAGTCAAAATTGATGCCGGTTGTTTTCTTTTGTGTTTTCAATTACAGTCTCAGAAATCCTATAGACCAATTCTATTACAACAAGCTCAGCAGTTGGAAACCACAGCAGCTCCTTAGGAGAAAGGCAGGACTTTCTACTCCCGTACTAAGTAACAGTTTCGGAAAGCCAGAGGGCAGTTCTACTCTGTCCCCATGGTTGCTCTGAGCCTGCATTGACTCGATGGCAGTGAGTTTAATTGTTTTTGTTTTGCTTTTCAATGCTGTCCTGCAGGGTTCCAAGGAGTCAGAATTGGCTCAATGGCAGTGGAGTTTTGGTTTGGAAAATGTCTTGGCGTCCCCCAGCTTTCACTTCGAACAAGGCAGACCGCTGTTTCTCTTTCTCTGTTGAACCTCATTTTCAAATGCCAATAGTGATTCAGAAGCTTAATTTTGTTGTTAACGCTTATGATTTGTAATCAGATTATTCTCTTTTTAAAAATTATTAACTCAGATGTACCGAGCTAATGAATTCAGAGCTTATGATTGGGGGAGTGAAGATGAAAACATGCATCACTACAACCAGGTGAGCTACCCAGATGGCCCGAGAATAGTCGTTTTGAGGTATTATTATAAGAAGTCATTTGGGAACTACAGTCCTACCTGGCCATTTGTGTCACTGGCGTGGGTTTCTCAAAATTAAATTAAATTTTATTCAATTGTTACTTTTCCCCTCTTTTAATCCATAATCACTGCAAAGAATTCAGAAGCAAAAGAAGCACATATAAAGGAGATTAGATCCTCTATAATTCCACTAGCTAGAGACAACTAGGTATATTAATATTTTGGTGTATTTCTTCCCATATTCTTAGTAGTATGTTGTTCTTACTTAACTTTGTATCACATACATCAATTGTGTAAAGCAACTTGTACATTTGATGCCCTCATCATTCTCAAAACACTCACTTTCCGCTTGGGCTCCTGGAATCAGCTCCTCATTTTTCTTTTTTTTCCCCTCCTTCCCTGCTCCCTCTTCCCTCATGAACCCTTGATAATTTATAAATTATTATTTTATCATATATTACATTGCCTGATGTCTCCCTTCACCCACTTTTCTGTTGTCCATCCCCCAGGGAGGAGGTTATATGTAGATCCTTATAATCTATTCTTGATACTAACAAAGAAAATCTGAATTCTACATGAAATCAAAAGCATTTAAAGAGTTGAGCCTTAATGTATTTTTCCCTTATAAGTTTATGCACCAAAATTTGTAGACATATTTAGATCTGTATTTTTTAAAAATTTAAACAATTTTATTAGGCTATATTTCACATGTCAAACAATTCAATAGTTCAATCATATTAATAAGAGCTGTACAATGATCTCCACAATCAACTTTAGAATATATATGTCCCTCTTATAACCATCTGCATCAGCTCCCGACTTCCCCCAACCTTCCCCACTAGACCCTTCGAGAAACCATCAATGCAATCATTGTTTCTCTTGCTTTTCCCATCATGGATTTCATATACAGGAAAACAAAAAAATACTCTAATTTGCAAGGCTATTAGTAAAGGCTATTAGAACTTAGTGAAGGCTATTCACATCCCTGCTCGGTGATCAGAGAGGGTTCACTAAAGACTTAATCTATGTGTGGGCCCTGCAAATGGATTTTGGGCTTCCATTGTCATCCATAACCTTCTGAAAACCTAAACTCTGATCCCATTCCTTCCTTTGAATTTGGATTTTATCATTCACAACCGTTAGATCACACAGTTGATGTACTTCTTCCATGTGGCCCCACCCAATCGACACCTCACTCAGATGCCTGTTTAGTCAAAGACCAGCCTTTATGACCCTAGACGTTATTCTTTCTAATAACCAGGCACCATCTAGTTTCTTCACCACAATTTACCAGAGCACTCATATCTTCAGTGACCTCATGAGGGCAAGCATCAAGCAGGGCCATGTAATAAGAGCTCATTGTTCTCATATTGGGGCTAGAATTATGTGTGAGACCAAAATCCACTCATATATCTACCATTTGTATACATGTCTGGTTCACTTTAGAGATATCCTTATTATTTTATGTTAGAGAACATTATCGATCATCCTCCTGGAGCATAAGATAGTTCTATTGATGATGTCATTAATTTAACCAATGGTGTAGAATTTAAAACACTGTTGAGAAAAGGACATGACAGGCTGGCTATGATCCTCAATACATGACTTTTTGACTTGTTCAAATTAAACTCTTAAGTGACTAGATACTATTTACATGAACAACGGGAGCTGATGATAGAACAAAACTCATTCTCCATGCCAGAACCATACTTACCAGATGAATACATGTCCTAATTAAAGCAAGGAGAGCATTAAAGAAATAAGTATATGATGATCTCCAGCCAACCATCACTGGGTACCCTCAAGGCAAAAGTGTGAGTCCATTAATCACCAGTTCTGTAATCTTGGGATGGCAGTCACCTGATTCTAAAACACTAGGGAGTTTCAGTCTTAAGACCAAGATCCATAGGTGAGCTTCAGGTAAAGTCCAGTTAACTTAGTGGGGTTTCCACATTAAGACCGTCTCATGTGGCCTATGGCAGATGATGGGAATCTCAAAACAAGGTCCACAGTCCCATCTGTTTTGTATCACATGGCCTAGGTCATCCAGGGCTGGATAACTCCTGAGTCTAAAGTGCCCAGTTAGGAACATAGTAGCGAGCATATTCTTTCCTGGGGTTCTATGTAAGTATTGTTCAGTGTTTTTTTCTTGATGGGAGGTTGCACCTCCCTGTTTACCCACCAACAGTATTTTTTCTTTTAATTCATCCCATTGTCTCCTATTTTGATACTTGAGGTAGGGACGACTGCGATTTTTTTCTTCCGATCTCCCACAGTGACTCCGAGAGGCACGGTCAGTTCGATGGATGGTCATTGCGCAACCTCTCTATTTGTTTCGCTGTGGTTGTTGCTGTGATTGTCCTTCCTCTCACATATGCCCTTTCTTCCCTCTTCCATAGAGCCGCCCCCCACTGTATGACTTAACTGCCATGAAAGTACCCACGGCTATTTGGGCTGGTGGGAAAGATGTGCTGATAACACCCAAGGACGTGGCCAGGATACTCCCTCAAATCAGAAATCTCATTTACTTCAAGCTATTGCCAGATTGGAACCACTGCGATTTTATCTGGGGCCTTGACGCCAATCAACGGGTGTACAGTAAAATCATAGCCTTGATGAAGGAATATCCCTGAATGCAATATATATGCTTTTCAGTTACAAGAAGAAACTTCATGAACAATAATAATTAGCGGTGATGTGGCCCTCCTTTCTCCTTTCCCCGCACCTTGGGGTCATGATCGTGGCATCTCAAGTAGGAAATATGAAAGAGTGCTCCTTTTTCTCTAAGAAATGTCCACATCAGAAATCGCAGAACCTAATCTCCTTCCGTGAGGAGAAATCATGTTTTATCCAAAAGAAGCCAACTTTCTTTGATAAATGTAAAATTGGGGGATAGTCTAAAAGGTTTTTTCTTTCCTGTTTCAAGTACTATCCTGACAAACGACCAACCGTGGCTTCATGGAAGTAATATTTTATTCCTATTCCATTTGCCAAAAGATTCAACATAAGCATCAGAACCCTAGGTTAGAGAGACAGTCCTTGCCAACACAGCCATTTAGAAATATATTTTGAGTGACTGTAGGTTGTAGCTTACCTGCAGCGACGACTAGAGTAATAGCCATTGTTTAGCAATCAAGCTATGAACAAAGCCCTGGTGCACATCAAAGACCCGGCAGAAAAGAATGTAGTGGAAAACTCATACAATTTAAGTGGTCCAGGGGCTTGTCTTTTGGTTACAAGCTAGAAAGATATCAAACTAAAAACAACGGCAGTAAATTGAATTACTATTGTAAATAATTCATCCTTGATCCGTTAAATTCATATTAACTTGAAAAATGATCTCTTGTTTTGCTCTTACTAATTGAACTTAGTAAAGCCCTGCTCCTGGAACTGATCAGACAGAGGTCAGAAGTAGAAGTGTACTCCTGTATTTGTATCCAAATAATATTTAACACAGTTTCAAGAAAGTCTAGCTTAAAACCAACAAGGAAGGCATTGGAACAATATAATCTTTTGCACCATTTACATCTCTAAAACATGCATGAAATTGAGTCTAGGATGTGGAACAAAGGTCAAAGAGTAGAGTGAAACACTAGCCACTTCAAAAAGATTGGAGTTTGCTTGTCAGTCCGTCCATTTCTGAATGGTGTGAACCCAGAGAGTTCTTTACCTTCTATGAAGATGTAATTAGTGACAAAAGGAAATACATTTAGACCTTCAACCATTTACTTTCATTTAAAACTGGTAAATGTAAGTTACTAATATTTGTATATAGAACCATAGTCTTAAAAAATACATTGACTGCTTGTATACCACATAATTGCTCTTTCCTGACTAATTCGTAATTGGTCATTTTAACTTTTTAGTGGCTTTCACAGATTTAAAAGCACTTGAGAAGCAATTACTTTTATTTACCAAGTGAGTCATTTAAAATAACTTTCATTGAACCTTTCCAAAGAATACAATGTAGCTTTATACAAGCAATCATTTAAAATCATATTTATCAAATTATACAAGGCTAATTAAAAATTAGTTAATTCAAGATAATGTCTTTGAGATTCATCCACGTTATTACCTGTCAAGTTGGTCCCATTTCTTTGTCCTATATGCGACGGAGAGACCACAGTTCATTTAACCAACCAGGGAACAGCATATGAGTTTTTTTCTGGGTTTTAACTTCATCTTTTACTTTTCAGGGCTTATCAAGGTGGCTTGAAAATAGAAAGCACTCCATTCAGATTCGTTAACTTCATTACTAGCCCTCCTCACAGCTGCATCCTCTGCGCTGACACCTTCTCTGATCTTGTCACATTTCAGAGTTCTAATATGATGTAAATGATGCGATGGGGTAAGGCAGAAGCAGCATGCTGGTATTTGAACCTCGGTAGATGATGAAATACTTCCCCAGTACCAAGGTGTGGCAGGGATTTAGCTTCATCATAGATTCTATCATCATGGGCATGCTTCTATCATCACAGAGCCAACCCAAATGAAAACATCTAAATACCAGAGGGTGTAACCTTTAACAATCTGGTAGTCTAAATGAAAACACCAATAAAATTTTTCTATTGTATTAGTCTACTTGAAAAAAAACTAGATACTGAATAATCAACATGCTTTTCATAAAAACTGATTCCGGAAAGGCTCTTTCTTTCCTCCATTCCATTTCCAACCAGATTGTGCCAACTCTCTCCTGTGGAAGAATTCTTGAAGAAAACTAAACCTTCCTTGTTTCTGTGTGCCCTGCCCTTTTCTTGCCATTTTAATTCATATATGAATTAGTTACTGAGGTGAGAAAGATGACTTATTCATAACACTATGTACCCTTGATCGGCTTCATCAAAATAAGCACTTTTATGTTTCACCTTCCGGACCCTGCCCTTTTCAGAAAAAGAAGAGCCCCTGGATCTGTACAATAGATAAGTCATGAGCACCTAGCCCTTGACTTTGGCATGGCACGTCATCTACTGAATGGGGTGGAGAAACCCTGAGTATTCAAAACGAAAGCCAGCAAATTAGCTTCGTGGTACAGAAAAGGACAAATGACTCACCATGTCCTCCGTAAGACTCATCATATGTGTACATGGAACCTGAGAATACTTGTATTGACTAGTTCTTTTTTCATTTTATAAAAATAATGCATGTGTATGGTAGAAATTTTTAAAACTTCAAATACTATAAAACTGTTGCAAGAGTAAATAGTTTCTTTTGGTTTTGGGGGTGGGGTAAGGAATTGGCCAAATGCATATCTATACTTTCAGAGTTATTTATATTTATTTTCTTTGAACATCTTTTTGCATTGTTAAAACAATTACTTTAATATGCTTCAAAATTGTTTTCCCTTGAGGAAAGAAAGTATGTTGAATATTGTCTGAACCTTTGCGCATCTGATAATGTAATTTTGCTGCCTTAACACAGAATAAAACATCTTGTGTCAACATACTTTCCTAGTGCAAACCTCTGGAGACATTTTTCCATTGACTTCTGGAATTTAGCATTACAACAGAGAGGTCTAATGCTACTTCATTTTTGTACAGTTGTAGGTAGCCTGTTGCATTTTTACATTATGGCTTCCCTGCTAGCATGCTTATTTTTCAGTGTGGATTTGTTTCATCTCTATAATTCAGTGAGTTTAGCAAGCACAGGTATGCCAAGGGCTTTCCTTTCATTTTGACTGCAGTGAGGCCTTTCAATCTGCAGTTACAGTTTTTGGTCAGTTCAAAATGCTGTCTTCCGTCGTGCCTTTGAATAGCGCTGTGTTGATTCCTTTGTCCTTGTCCTTCGCTTCATCTAGTCAGGGAAACTCATCCATCCATGTGCTGTTTCCTCGGCGTTTTCTTCTTCTCCTCTTGTTGCTCCCTCTCGGCCTTTCCCTCTGACTTATGGGCCTCATGCTTGAGTTTGTTCTCTGGACCACTAATGTCATTCCATCCCATTCTGTGCTTTATAGCCTCAAGTATGTTTAGCCAATTAATTTTAGTTTCCAGGTAATTTTTGTTTAGATCGACCATGCTGCTGTCCTTTTGTAATGAGAAATTTCAGATCTATAAAACCATATAGTAAAGAATACAATACACACCTGTTCTTTCTATCCGGTTTCTGAAACGAGACATAATGAAGGAATTGACATCTCTCTTTTCATCAATTGTGGTATATATCAGAATTTATTTAACTTCCTATCTACCTACCCATACATATATATGCATATCAGATATAAGTGTACATGGGTGGGTATACATATATATAGTGAGAGATAGAGATGGATAGATATATAGACATAGATATATGGATATGGATATAGATATACATATGGATGCAGATGTGGATATGGATATGAATATAGCTATTGCATAAACATATGTATTTTAAATATTACATAATACAATATTTTAATTTTATTAATATAAGTATATTCTTATTTTCTAAAAATTTCTTCCAAATACATCTGAATTAAATGAAAAAGAAATCATGGCATTAGCTAATCCAAAAGCGTAAAGGCTCTTCTACAAGATACAAATATTTTTATCAGCTCAGCCATGCCCCAGAGGTGCCCAGTCTAGGTGGAAATCATGTCCTTTTTGAGTGACCTTTGGAAACCAACCACATTCCCATCATGGACCTGTAACTGTATTTCTCACCCTAGTTCATATCCTTCCCACGTTTTCCAGGGTAGGACAAACGTGGGATGGGGAATCAGCTCACATGATGTCTAAAACCAAGGCTCGGTAGTTATGTTGTTTATGTGGGAAGATTCTTTTGTTTTGCTTTACATTAAACACACCATTTTCTCTTTCTAGACTTCAGTTTTCTCATCTATATAATAAACAAGTTGGACTGGGTAATCTTTGTGTGTTCTAAATATTTATGAGTCTTTAGTATATACTACTCTGGAAATACAGTCACCATTCATTATATATGAACACATAATAAAATGAAAAATTCAGTCCCCCAGCCTATTCACATGTCAATTTCTCAGTAGTTATTCATAGCTAGGGGTTATTGTATTGGGCAGCACACATACAGACTATTTTGAACATCACAGAAAGATCTTTTGGACAACACTGAATACCAAGAACCTGGACAATGCAAGACTCATTTAAACAGGGTTCAACTCTTTCCAGGCTGTAAGAAGCAGCACATGTGGGCAAGCCAGGTGCACTGTTGTGGTGTTGTTAGGTGCCATCAAGTGGGTTCCAACTCAATGTGACCTTTTGCACAACTGAACAAAACATTGCCTGCTCCATCCTCACCACTGTTGCAATGTTTGAGCCCGTGGTCGCAGCCTCTGTGTAAACCCATCTCATTGAGGGTCTTTCTCGTTTCCATTGTCTCCCGCTTTATTTATCAAGTCTGATGTCCTTTTCCAGGCCCGGCCCCTCCTGAGAACATGTCCAAAGCATGTGAGATAAAGCCTTACCATCCTCCCTTCTAAGAAGTATACTGGTTGCACTTCTTCCATGACGTATTTATTTGTTCTTCTGGCAGTCCTTGGTACTTTCAATAGTCTTCACCAACACCATAATTTAAGTGTATCAGTTCTTCTGCAGTCTTCCTTATTCCTTGTCCAACTTTCACTTTCCTAAGAAGAGATTGAAAACAACATGAGTTGGCCAGGCTCGCCTTAGTCCTCAAA